CCGGCCGCGCCGCCCTCCTCGGTCCCGCCCCCGGGCCGGGTCGGCCCCGCGCGGTCACCCCACCCGTAGGAGCCGCCCGCAGGGCTCGCCTCGGGGCCAAGAGGGGAGCCTTCTCCCTGCGCTGCGCGCAGCGAAGCCGAGCTGGGAGCGGCCTTTCATCAGCCGGGCTCTCTCCTGGGGCGCCGCGAAGCGCCTCTGCGCTCGCAGACCACGTGCACCGATTTTAGGGCTCTCGGGGGTTGGGGGGACCGCGCCCCTTCGGGGCAAGTTCCCGCCCCTCTCTGAGTCTAGGCCTGCCCATCCTAAGAGCTACGGCTTACCTCTGAAGCCCAGCCCACGCCTAACAGTCACGGGACTCGGTGGATGAGCCACTATTGGGGACCAGAAATTTCTCAGGGACTTGTTTTTAAATGAAAAATTACATGTGCACTCCATTATTAAGATCATTGGTTTGGGGATCAGGATACCTGAGCTCTAAGTCAGGTCTCCACTTTTTAGATCATCTTCGGTAAGGTATTTAAGTTCTGTGTGCCTCAATTTTCTGTAAAAAAAAATAGATCATTATACTATTTCATGGGATTGTGTAAACCTTTAATGAGGTAATCCGTGTAAAGTGTTCACAACTGCCAGACACGTAGAAGCTACTCACTGCTACACTTTGACTGCTACCCCTACCACCATCACTCAGGGTTTCAGAAGGGTCTATGGTGAAAAGTGCCCCCTCCCCAAGGAAAGCACTAATCTTTTGCATTTTTCCATAGGGCACATATGGACAGATAACACACGTGTGTATTTATACAAAAGGGAGTCATCTATTCTGTTGGGCACTTTGTGTTTTCCTTAAAGTTCCTTGGCATTCACCTCATGCCTGAACACCCCACTCTGCCTCGTTTCTTTTTAAGGGGCGCATAGACCTCCACGTATTGCAGGAAGGCTCTCTCTCTTTCCTTTGTCTGTCCCCGGTTCCCACTCTTGCTCACAGGCCCTGCTGGGATGGTCACAGCCGCAGTGCTGCATACATGCCACAGCCTGCATTTCTACTTACAACTGAATCAGATTGGGGATGCACTTTTTTATTTCAACATATACTGCCAAATTGCTGGAGGCCTCTCAGACCACAGTACTTAGTTGGCTGCACATGTGGCCAGAGGCAGAAGTGCAAGGCTTGGGCGCAGTGAGCAGTGATAGAACAAATGAGCAGCAGATACTGGCCAGGAGCCCTCACTCACCAGGCAAGTGAAGATAGACATTGGGTCCCTGCTCAGTGCCAGGCAGTGTACTGAGCAGCAAGCACTGAGCACACACCAGATCCAAGACATACCTGTTTAGTTTGCCTCATTTCCCAAAACACAATTTCGGGGCACGGAAGCAAAAGACACATGGGATGTTGGAGCTTTACTGACTATGAGAAAGGGATTCGTTGACAGGTATGTGGCCTGGTCACCATCCAGCCAAATCCTGCCTCTCCAGCAAGGCCTACCTCCTCCATGAAGCCGGGAATTGTATTCTGGCCCTTTCTGCCAGACTGCCTTCACTTGGCATTCTCACTGCTCGTCCCACCAGCATGGACTTACGTGTTGACACATCAGTCTCCTTTGCTAGGGAGGCACAGAAGACACAGGCTTTTCTAGCTGGCTGACCAGGCACCACTGCTTGTTGACATGTGAACTTGCACAGGTCGGTTCACCTCTCTGAGGTTCAATTTCCTCGTTTATAAGAGAAGGATATCTGCTAAACTGAAAGATTCTAAGAATTCAAATGTGATGATGATGGGCTTAGCAGAAAGCGCTCAGTAAAGGTGAGCTCCTATTCTTGGGCAGCAAGGCATCATGCCTTTTTCACCTCTGAACTATAGCACATGGCAAGGCCTGGTGCTATAGCATGGGGGAGTGGGGGCTCCCTGTGGAGTGGAGAAAGGTGAATAAAATCCCGTAAAAGGTGAGTAATATCTCGTAAAGTCTGCTGGGAAGCAAACTTCAGTCGTGATATCTCAATGGATTCACAAGGTTCTATGTGGTGGGCCTACGACCCTGCCCAACGCAGCCTACCCTGTACTAATCTTTACTGTCCCCCAACTCCTAGAAACCCTAAGCTCCAAGAATTCAGAACATCTCTCAGTTCCTCCTACACCCTATGCTCTCTCTCACTTCCAGTTCTCAGCGGTTGCCATCTCTTGCCATCTGAAAGGTAACCCCAAACCCCATCCCCACCTCATCACCTGACTGACACATTCTTAGGTCACAGCTGAAAGGACCCTTCTTCTGGGAGCCATTTCCTGTCCTGAGCCCCGTAGTTACCCTTGCTTAACCTACGGCCACATCTAGCACATAGTGTGGTCATTGTTCAGTGTGCCATTTCCCAAAAAGAGAAATGGGGCATCAGGCTGTTTCTGCCCATGCGCATAGCTGACCCCCAGCGCTCAGTATTTTTCACATTTATTTGAATTAGTGAATAAATTGCTATGAATGAAATTGTCAGGGCCTCAACTACAGATAAATAAAAAAACAGTAATACACCCCATAACGACAGACCGCATATACAACAGTGGTCCCAAAAGATTATAATGGAGCCTAGGTGTGTCGTAGGCTAAACCACGTAGGTTTGTGTAAGTCCATTCTATGATGCATGCACGACAAAATCACCTGATGACGAATTTCTCAGAATGTGTCTCCGTCATTAAGCAATGCATGACTGTAACCACAAACTCCAATCAAAGCTACCCTTACTCAGCAGTTGCACCATCTGTCCTGCTGTGTTTATAAGAGTTAGATTCATGTTGGAGGGCCAGCTGCCAACTATCTGGCAACCTGGCTGAAGAAGGAATGAAATTCTTCCCAGCCTGGCAGAACCTTCAAGTGTGGCAGTTGATGGGACAGGGGAGAGCTTCAGAACCACTAGATAAGTAAGTGAAAGGCAAAAATCAAAAATTAGATCTTGTTTTGGAACTGGTCTGCCAGCTGTAGATTCACTGACTTTCAAACTTTTTTAGAAACATACTGCTTGAAATGTTGCCATGGCCTGAACAAACTGAACTAAATCATATAGCAGTTCAGGCTGGGAAGTCAGACAGACCTGGGTTCAAATCCAGTCTTTACCACTAATTAGAGCTATCTTAAAAAACTTTTTCCCAAAAAGCATGTCCCACAGAATGTTCCATTGCTAATGGCTCCATTAAATTGATTCCAAATCCTGGAAGTCACATCACACAATGAGTACCTCAGTACGAGGTACACATTTCAGAACTTGGGAGTAAACACACAGCTGTTCTTTTCAGGAATGTGCAGCGAGGAAGACAAGTCACATGCTGTTCGTCAGGAAACTGAGTGAAAACCAGAATTCCTGTCAGTGAGGTCAACAACCCTCCTGAAATGTCAAGAATATATTCCTACACGATGTGCAGGAAGAGGTACGGACAGATACAAAGGGAACAAAATGGGGCAGGGTCCAAAGAGGGAGCATTCACATCTTGTTGGGAGAGACGGTCCACTGAAGGTAATCAGGCTTTTAACTAGAGAGCTAGATTCTCTGGTTTATCTTTAAAAACCCTGTAAGACAACAGCAGACAACTTAATCCTGCTCTCGGAACAACCAGCCTAGCGTCTCTCCTAATCTTTTCTTCAGCTGTTGCTATCTGTTGTAGGATGCTGTTGCTCTGCCCTTTTTGTTTTCAAGTAGAAAAAAAAGGCGGGGGGGAGGTTGTCTGCTCCCTCCAAGCCCACCAATCCCCATCAATCATTCGCCCAAACAATGAGCTATGGCCTTGAAATCACACTTGATCCAGGAGCAGGTCAGTGTCCTTTGAAATTTTTGAAAACACAGACGTCGACATGATCTGGCAGCTTCCTCTCCCCAACCACTGGCAAAATCTTTCAATACAAAATGTGCCTCTCTGCCTGAAGTGGTGAGGGTGTGAGAGCAAAACTTGAACTGCCTGCCTGTGCAGAAAGGTTTTTCCATCATTTCAGAGCCACTGAAATGGTGAGATCAGTTGACAGGATAAAACACTCTGAGATCTGCCAGATTGTCCCTGAAGGAGAGAAAAAATTTTAATGGTGAGAAACAAGGGGCATGGAAGACTCACCAAAACAGGTCCTTCCCACCAGCCTTGTGTAGCTAACCTTCGCCATTTCCTGGCACATTTGTGAGAAGAGCGATGGTTCCAGAGGTCAAGGAAAGCCATTTGGTGGGAAGGACCTGTCTTGATGAACCTCTGGGCCTCAGTTCTCCCATCCACGGAGACAGGACCACAGTACCCAGCCTGCGGGGCTGTTGGAGGTTTACATGAAGTGCCGGGCACATAAAAGGCCTCCCTCACTAGAAGCATGCTGAGATTCAATGTACGCCTCTGACGAGTTGCTTCATCTTTCAGAACATCAGGGTTTTTTCCACCCAAAAAGTAGAAGTGGCAAATCTTTGGGGAACTTGTATGTTGCACACAGGGTCCGGCTTATTTTAAGTTTTACTGTAAGGCATACTATCTTATGCCTTCTTTGAAGAACTTGACTAGGTCTGAGCTATGGCATGAAATGGTAATGGTCCGAGTTTCTGTGCTTATAATGGGCAATATTGGGGACATCCTTCTCTCGAGACAACGGCTTCACAGGACATAAGATTGCCCAGATCGATCAATCTAGGATTCAGGAGATGAAAAGAATCACGTGGGTGAAGATACATAAAAGGTGTATGATATCTCAGTACTGAGCATATGCACAGTGGTCAAGCACAGAGTGAGCCAGACAGAGCCCGCATCTTGGCTCTACCACAGCACAACTGTAGGCTGCTGCCTTAACCTCTCTGCTTCTTATCCCATAAAAGTCACTGTGAGGATTAGTTAATATAAATGCAAAAATCCTTAGAATGCTAGCTGGCACAGAGAAAGCCGCTAGTAATGGCATCAGGTATTTTTCACTCACAGAAGATCCACAGGCTCTCCGATTTCTTAGCCTCCCATGCAGTTAGGTTGGCTCATGTGACCCATGCTGGTCAGTGGGCTGAAAACAAGTGTCGTGTGTCATTGCAGGACTGAAGCATTAAGAGCTCGTGCACGTTTGCCAACTTTTTCTTCTCCTGCCTCTGCAATCATGGAAACCACGTGCTAAGATGGTAAGAGCCACAAAGCGGAAGTAACTGAATCACTGAATCATGGAGATCCACCCAACTTGGAGTCACCCAACTTGTATGGAACATTCTAAGAAATAAACCCTTGTTGTATTCAGCTACTGAGATTTCAGAGTGTATCCTATCCGGACTGGTCAATAACAGCTATTATTGTGGGCTTGTAAGCTTGTAATCAAGGATGGTTAGATTGAAAAAACAAGCAAATTTTAGAAAATTAGGAAACATTTGTAAGCACCTGGAATGTTCCAGGAATATGTGGTACTTTAATAACTCTGTTGTTGGTGCCCAACAGTGATTCTCAACTGGGGGTGGTTTTGGCCCCAGGGGACAACTGACAAGGTCTGGAGGCATTTTTGGTTGTCATGACTCAAGGGGTATTACTGGCACCTACTAGAGGGTGGAGGCCAGGGACACTGCCAAACATCCCTGTAGTAGATTAAATGTACAAAAAAGACCCTTCACAGCCCAGACCCTATCTTCTAAGATAATCACTATTACCCCGGTTTCTTCTGTCCTCCAGATATACTCTGCATATAAAAGTATAGGCAACTGTAAAACGTTTTTTGTGCTAAGTGGGAACAAATCACAGATTGTTCTGCATGTGTTTCCTTGGAATTCATTCCCTATCAGAACCAACATATCTGTCCTAGTGCTCAAAGAACCTAACAGATGCTACTTTTTCATACCGGGCCACAATGGAAGCCCATCCCCAAGGAAGCTTCTAAAATATCTTAGTCTTGGCCCTACTCCTAGAGATTGATTCAACTAGCCTAGGAGAGGCCTGACCACCCACCATTTTCCCTGGGTACAATCAAGGTTAAGAACTGCAGAACGAATCCCTCCACCTGTGCCCTGGATCCCATGGCCTCTAGGTCCCCCAGGGATCTCACTCCACCCAGAACACCTACTCCAGTCTCCCTCCCTCTATTCCCTTTCCCACCAGCATCTGAACATATCATCACCTCTCAAATCACTTCCTCCATCAGCCACTACTGCCTCTCTCTCCTTCCATTCACAGCCATGTGTGTTTCCCCTCACTTTACATTCAAGTCATGCTTCAAGCCATTTAGGTTCTTCTCTCCCAGGTCGCCAAGCTCTCTACTTTTTGGATCTTATCTTGTCCTCTCACCTGAACCTATCACACCACTTTTGAAATATTTCCTTCTGTTGCTTGTGACTTGGGCAACATTCAGCTGGTTGGCTGGAAGTCAAGAGTCAAGCATCATATTAAGTACCACCCTATGAATCCAAGTTGCAAATACTGGCGGCTACCAAGTTAAAGATAGTGGGTCTACAGCAGTGAATGCAGGTGTTGCTTCCTCATGGTCTTCCAGTTTGGGAAATCGGTAGTTGCAGTAGGCAGAAGCTTGGAGTTGCTACACTTGGAGATACCAAGAGTAAATAAAGACCTAACGAAACTGGGTAGTTTTGGGACATGTTAACATGGAGGTGTCTATTAGATGTCCAAATCAAAATACCAGATAAGCAATTTGAAAACTCCAGGGTTCAGGAGAGCTAAGTCGAAGATATAAATTTGAGTCTTCAATGTAGATGGTATTTAAAACCAGGAACTGTACATGGTCTCAGCAAGGGAATCAGTGTGGAGAAGTCCAAGAACAAGTCCTTGGGAAAAGAGGAGGGACCAGGAAGAGACTGAGAAGCACGGTAGCACCTCACTGCAGAAGCTAAGAAAGTGGTTCAAGAGGAAAGGTCAACCCCACTAAACAGTTCTGAGGATCAGGAAGGAGGGTTGGGCCTCTCAATCTGGTCATTGGTGCTGACCTTGACAAGCACTTTCAGTGGAGTGACAAGTGCAGATCGGAGTGCTCTAACAGTGAAAAATGGAAAAGCTCATATAGAAAACTCTTTTGAGGAATTCTACTGTAAACAAGAACGGTAACTAGATACAGAAGTGACCTGAGATCAACCGATCCTGAGTCATATAAAGTAATAGTTTTTAAAGGCCATCTAATTCTCTTGTACTGTTTCAGAACAAGCAAGGAAACCCCACAATGTTCTCTTTAAACTGTTTCTGCCTACCAGAAATGATTTTGCAGCCAAAGACTTTCAGCTAATACAGACAGGGTCACAGGGCATTTAACTCACAAGGGCTAGTGTCAAGTTCCTGTAGGTATTACACATATCAGTCAGCCTGCCAGGAAAGAAATATGCTTCATAACTTGCCCAAGGCTGCCCAGTATACTAGAGAAAAAACAAACTGCTGACTTACTATAGTTGCTTGCTGTTTTTCAAAACAGCTGTTGGGTGAAATCACAAGTGATTCTTCCCTTCCTGCTAAGATGCAGACTATGAATATTTTCTAAGTACCGTATTTGCCGGCGTATAAGACGATTTTTTGGCCCTGAAAAATATGCCTGCAAGTGGGGGGTCGTCTTATACGCCAGGTACACTTCAGATAGACTGCCCATAGTGCTTGCCCCGTGCCATAGTGGCCTCCCGATGCCCGCCCACT